TGTGTGAAGGTGGCCAGGTGAGCGGGCGCTGCTCAGGGGCAACTGGCTTGTTTTTAATGGGTCTGGGGTCATTGTCCATGTGGGCATCTGGACAGTCCCTCCCCTGGGTCCTCAGGGCTGCCATCCTCTGTCCCTTTAGAGTGCGAGGGGGAGTGTCCTCATGAGTGGACAGGCCTGGTCCCAGAGAGGACAAGGCCAGGCAGAGCCACCTTGCCTGAGGGAGGGTGAGAGACTTGACCTCAGACCAGGAGGGCCTGTCCCCACACCATGGGCCAGGCACACCTCCTGCGTGGGCACAGAGCCACCACATGGAGCCCTTGAGGGTCCCAGCGCGTGGGGTACCCAGGAGACAAGGACACACTGTCCCACAGAGTGGGCTCGTACAGAGTGGGAACCTGGGAGCTCATATCCCGAGGGGCTTCTCCTGTCCCCTGTTCGCACTGCCAGCCTGGAGGAGCTGCTGGCCGGGGGAGGGTGCGGAGGAGCGGCCCTCCGTTCACAAAGCCCCTGCCCCTTTCCGGGCGGTGGCACAGACCCACCGGGTCTGGGCGCCCCCCAAGTGGTGACAGCCCGCCTCAGATGCCAGCCTGAGCTCTGCCTCGGAAAGAACCATGACAGCGTCGCGGGGTCCCAGGGCAGTGCTGGGTGCTTTATTTCATGCCGGGTGCCCGGGGGGTATGTACACAGGAAGGGGGAGGCCTCGCTGGGGTGCCGGGCGCGTCGCTCATTTACCCGGAGTGTGGGAGCTGGATTTCTGGGTGTAGTGATTGTGCAGAGCCTCGTGCATCACCGTACACGTGAAGTCCTGTCCTCGCTGCCACCTGCTCTTCTCCACGGTGAGCTTGCTGTACAGGAAGAAGGACCCGTCGGCATCCAGCTGGGCCGGGGTCGTTTGGTACTTGGCCTCGGGCTCTGGCTGCTCGTTGCTCTCCCACTCCACGTTGATGTCAGACGGGTAGAAGCCTTTGACCAGGCAGGTCACGCTGACCACGTTCTTGGCCAGCTCATCTGGGTGTGGGTTCAGGACGTATACATGCGGCTCCCGGATCGGCCCTGTAAAATGGGGACAGCACCGATGGTCACTCCCAGGTGGAGGGCCGGCTCCCCGCCACCCCTCCCCCACCTGCCTGCTGCCGCACCTTTGGCCTTTGTGATGGTCCTCTCGATGGGGGCTGGGAGGGCCTTGCTGTTGACCTTGCACTTGAACTGCTTGCCGTTCAGCCAGTCCTGGTGCAGGATCGGGAGGACGCTGACGATGCGGTAGGTGCTGTTGAACTGTTCCTCC